TGCCACACTGCAAAAATAGTTCAGGAATGGTTTGAGAAGTGCAACAATAGGTTCAAGGTGTTGACTTTGTCTCTAGGTTCCACAGATCTTAATCTAATCTGGTGTCCGTGGGATGTGTTGGAAAAATATGTATGATCCGTGGAGGTCCCACCTTCAACTTACAAGAATTAAAGGACCGGCAGCTGTTTAGGTGTCAGATACCAGAGATGAACTTCATAGGTCTTGCGGAGTCTATATCTATATGTAGATATATTATATATGCACACACACACACAGCATCTATTGAAACCACTCAACAGTCAAGGTGCCTGTCATCAGTCTGTTTTATCCAGTGGAATGAAAAAGCTGGGAAGCAGGGAATTAAGACAGCAACATGAAGAATGCATTAATGCCTTGACTTAAAGATCAGATTATTACCCTGTCTGATTTAGAATGTGATTACATCAATGCAAGAGCCTGCTGCTCCAAACTGAACAAAGTAAGTGATGTTAGTCTGGATTGTTACTGATTTATGTACATATACCTCACATATTTGAACTTATATGTGAGGTATATGTATTCATGATGGCTTTTATTTTTGGTATCTTTTGTTTGTCTTGATTTATTGTTATTATAATCATTGGGATGATGGCTATTAAAGATGATTTACTCCCTTTTTTTAAGTGTTATAGAAATGTTTATTAGTATTTTGCTATTTTATTTTTTTTAATGTTTGATTTATGTATTTTATGTTTCAGTGGGTAATTCCAGAGATGGTTGGCCAGTGTCTCTCGACTATGCTGATGTTGGTCTCCATGCATTGGTTCATCTTTCTCCTGAACCTGCCTGTAGCAGCCTGGAACTTTTATCGGTATGTTCATACTGCCAATCTTTTGCACCATTTGTAAGGTAATAGACATATGGTGCTGTAAAAAAGGTTTTGCCCCATCCTAACTCTATCATGTCTCAAAAAAGGAAATTGTTGTAGTTCATTTTTAATTTATGTTGTACAAATAAAGCCAGTTGTGACTAATTTCATGTGCTAAATTGTTTATCAAGCTTCTATCAATGGAGTGGGTGAATTAAAATAGGTAAATCAAGATTAGAGGACTTTGACAAAAATTGCTTTCAGTGTTACTGGTGTTAAGCAAACTTAGCAAGTGACATGTAAGATTGAAAAAGTTTAGATGTCTGCAAAAGTACCCAGTTTTAAATGCAGAGATGCATACCATATACCATTTTTATAATACATTTTAAAATAGATGTAAATACAATCAAATTTAACCGTTGTGTTGCGTCCAGGTCAAATTGACCCTTTTTTAGATTTTTACTAAAAGAAAACTGACAAAAGAAAAAGAGCTGTTGACCTGAATCTACATGGGCTATACATTATATTTACATATAAATAGCTCTTGATTGCAGTGTGTCATTTTATCTTCAATCGTCCAGCACCATGAGCAAAAGGTACACTGCTCAGAAAGCCATAGAGCTATTTTTAGCAGAGAGTGAGACAGATAGTGGAGGGGAAGAAGAGGATGTCTTGGAATTAACTGTGGTTAATCACATTTACCAGGACAATACTGAAGAAACTTCTGAATATGAGAGTGAATTTGAGGATGATGAGGACTCAGAGCACACAGCAGAAGAAACTACAAATCCCACTGCTGGAGGAGGCCCACAGCCAACTACATCCAAGAATGGCCAGACTGAATGGTTTTCATGTTCAATGGGTGAAGCCCCTGGTTCAGCTGCTAACAAAATAAGGATGGTACCAGGACCCACACGAGTGGCTGTGACACATGCTCATGATATAGTGTCATCATTTGAACTGCTGATTCCTCACTCAATCTAGAAAATAATTCTGGACATGACCAACCTTGAGGGAAGACGTGTTTTTTGGGAGCAGTGGAAAGAGATGGACCACATATATTTGCGTGCCTACTTTGGGATCCTCATCCTTGCAGGTGTCTACAGATCCAGAGGGGAGTCAACTGAAAGTCTGTGGCATGCTGAGAGAGTGATTTTTGAAGCCACAATGTTGCTGGAGAGCTTCCGCATATTCTCCAGGGTTATCAGGTTTGATGATCGGGAATCAAGACCTGCTAGGCAGAGGAAGGACAAGTTGGCATCCATCCGTACTGTGTGGGACAAGTGGGTGGAACATCTTCCACTTCTCTATAACCCTGGGCCCAATGTGACTGTAGATGAACAGCTTGTGGGGTTTAGAGGCCGTTGCCCCTTCAGGCAGTATAAGCCCTCCATACTGTCCGCTCTGCTGTGCCTGAGGCTGTAGGTGCGGTATATGTGACTGAGCAGAGTGTGAGCTGGGTGGTGTGGATCTCTGATTTTGTGTTCTGCCCTTTTATGACAGCGCTGTGTGTACAGTGTGTCCACAGCAGCCAGTTCAGTCCCAATGATTCTCTCTGCAGTCATTATGACCCTTTGAAGAGCCTTCCTCTCTGCCTGTGTGGTGTTACCATACCAGACTGTGATGCCAGTAGTGAGGATGCTCTCTACCAGTCCTCTATAAGTGTGGGTAAGAGGGCGATGGTTCAACCCAGCTTTTCTGAGCCGCCTGATGAAGTATAGCTGCTGCCTGGCTTTCTTCATTGTGGTCTTCATGGTGTCGGCTGTGTTCAGTGACCAGCTCAGGTCACATGTCACCTGCAGGCCTGGGGGAACTTGTGGCTGTCAGGCCTCCCCACCTCAGTCCCTTTGATGGTCATAGGCAGCCGAGGGGAGGGGTTCTTCCTGAAGTTTACAATTGTTTTTTTTGTCTTGATGTTGCGGATGAGGTCATAAAGGCTTGTCTCACTTTTGCCAAAAAACATCTTAAGGATAATAATTTTATTTGGCCAAGTATGTTACACACACAAGGAATTTGTTTCCGGTACAGAACCGCTGCAGCCATCTGCGGCGCCAATTCACGCCAATGCCTCTAACCATTGGGGGCAACTTGGGGGTTCAGTGTCTTGCCCAAGGACACTTCAATATGTGGACTGCTGGCACCATGATTCAAACCTCCAACCCTCCGGTTGGGAGACAACCGCTCTACACACTGAACTACAGTTGCCCTTGATAATCCCCAAGACTTTTGGGAAAATCTTATGTGGACTGATGAGACAAAAGTTGAACTGTTCGGAAGGCGTGCATCCCATTACATCTGGCGTAGAAGAAACACAGCATTTCAGAAAAAGTACATCATACCAACAGCCAAATATGGTCGTAGTAGTGTGATGGTCAGAGGCTGCTTTGCTGTTTCAGGACCTGGACTACTTGCTGTGATTGATGGAATTATGAATTCTGCTTTCTACCAAAAAAACCTGAAGGAGAATGTCCGGCCATCAGTTCATGACCTCAAGCTGAAGCGCACTTGGGTTCTGCAGCAAGACAATGATCCAAGACACACCAGTAAGTCCACCTCTGAATGGCTTAAAAACAAAACAGTCTAGTCAAAGTCCAGACTTGAATCCGATTGAGATGCTGTGGTGTGACCTTAAAAAGGCAGTTCATGCTTGAAAACCCTCCAGTGTGACTGAATTAAAACAATTCTGCACAGAAGAGTGGGTCAAAATTCCTCCACGGTGATGTGAACGACTCATTGCCAGTTATCGCAAATGCTTGATTGCAGTTGTTGCTGCTGAGGGTGGCACAACCAGTTACTAGGTTTAGGGAACAATTACTTTTTTACATAGGGCTATGCAGGTTCACATAGTTTTTTTCCCCCCTTAAATAAAATCACCTAAAAACTGCATTTTGTGGTTACTTTGGTTATGTTTGTCTAATATTTAAATTTGTTTGATGATCTGAAACATTTAAGTCTGACAAAAATGCAAAAAATAAAAAAACAGGAATGAGGCAAATACTTTTTCACAGCACTGTATAGCTGTTGCATTTATACAGCAACTGATATTCCTTTGTTATTTCTGTGTGAGTGAGCTCATTGCACTGAAGGAGCAGGACTGCATTATCAGACCTTTCAGGTATTCACCGAATTAGCCTGTACTCCTATCAGATCAGGAAATATAGGATGTAGTGTTATATATTTATATAATGCTTTTTAAAATGACAGATGAAGATTTTATCACATCACACGTTTAGTCTATTGTAAGTAAGGACACAAAGTTCATTTTTTACTCTCCATGGTGCAATGAGGCTCTTGGGTTTACACTTTTTTGTATTTGCTGGTCCTGTAGCCACATCAAGGTTCCGATGGGAAACACAGGTGTGTTTGATCCCACTGAGATCCACAACCGAGGTCAGCTCAAGTCACACATGAAGGAGGCAAGTCAAAGTCCAGACCTGAATCCAATCGAGAATCTGTGGAAAGAACTGACAACTGCTGTTCACAAACGCTCTCCATCCAATCTCACTGAGCTCGAGCTGTTTTGCAAGGAGGCATGGGCAAAAATTTCAGTCTCTCGATGTGCAAAACTGATAGAGACATACCCCAAGCGACTTACAGCTGTAATCGCAGCAAAAGGTGGCGCTACCAAGTATTAACTTAAGGGGGCTGAATAATTTTGCACGCCCAATTTTTCAGTTTTTTATTTGTTAAAAAAGTTTGAAATATCCAATAAATTTCGTTCCACTTCATGATTGTGTCCCACTTGTTGTTGATTCTTCACAAAAAATTACAGTTTTATATCTTTATGTTTGAAGCCTGAAATGTGGCAAAAGGTCGCAAAGTTCAAGGGGGCCGAATACCTTCGCAAGGCACTGTATATTTATATAATGCTTTTTAAAATGACAGATGAAGATTTTATCACATCACACGTTTAGTCTATTGTAAGTAAGGACACAAAGTTCATTTTTTACTCTCCATGGTGCAATGAGGCTCTTGGGTTTACACTTTTTTGTATTTGCTGGTCCTGTAGCCACATCAAGGTTCCGATGGGAAACACAGGTGTGTTTGATCCCACTGAGATCCACAACCGAGGTCAGCTCAAGTCACACATGAAGGAGGCCATGATTAAACTGGGTTACCACCTGCTCTGCTTCTTCATTTATTTGTACAGGTGGGATCAACAGCATCTACAGACTTGCTGATATTCAGTTACGTGTTCATGTCTTTAAGTCTGTTCTGTATTAACACAGATTCATCCCATCTTGTTTTTGCAGCATGATCCTGGCTCTAATCAATGACTGAAGCGCTCAGCTGCCTAACTCCAAACTTCAGGGTTTGATGTTTCTCTCCCTAAACCCCGCTTCTGTACTGTATACATCAAATTTTTCAGAACAGCACAGAGTTGACTTTTGGTGAGCTCTTGCTGAGTGTGAACACTTCAGTATCATTGTGACAAAAACTCCAACAGCCACTGTGTTCTGTTGTATAATTATATAATCTGTTATCTTCCCCAAACCTTCACCTGCCACAGTGAGTAATAACATCAACAGCAGTTACACAGCAGCAAGAAATATTTAACATTTTTATAGTGGAGTAAATGTGGAGTAAATATGCTTCCTTCAGCAGATGGAAACAGAAATAGTGAGTGACAAGGCCATATTACCAGGTACAATAATAAGTTATTTCTCAGTCTTTTGCACCATACAGTAGATGGCTCAATTTATTTTTTTATTTTTTAACAAATACAAATTAGGGAATTTTGCATCAAATCTCAAATTATATCATATTTCTTCCCTGTTGTGATTTTTGGTCTGAACAGCTACTGAACCTCCTTACCACATGTGCAGGCTTTGACCTGCTGCCACATGATTGGCTAAGTAGATATTTACATTAACCAGCAGGTGTACAGGTGGAACTCATAAAGTGGCCACTGAGTGTACTGTACTGCATATTCTGGTCATTTTGTGCAGTGGCACAGTATAGAGCTTAGCTCTGGCCTGGTGTCACCTTTTGTTACCATACATGACAGAATAAGCTGTGCATTACTTCCTGCTCAGTACTCTAAAATACATGTGTGGCTTCTGTCATCACTTTATTAACCTATTTAGTTGCACAGTTCAAGACATGGTGGACTGTGTGAATTTGTAGCTGTTGGCACGAATCAGACTGGAGGCATGGTTTACTGATGTATATCCTGCTGTCACCTGTAGCTTTGCAGAGTATATGACACCATCAGCCCTGTTGTTCCCTACCAGTGACTATTCAACTGACTGGGCTGAATTGAGTCAGTTGGAGCTCTCTGATTGGCTGTTCAAAGTCATAATTTTTCCCTTTTTCCACACTTGTGCCTTTTCTTTTCTGATTCCATAAGTAAATTAAAACTCACACTGTATTCACACATACAGTGACAAAATAGTTTGCTGTGTCAGGCGTTCGGTGAATCTTTGGTGTGTTGTGTTGAGCATGTAATTTACATTTGTGTTTTATGATGTATCCACCATTATGTACTGCTATTTCTGACAGCGATTAGTTTCCCCACATCATTCTTTTTTGCATTTTAAGACAGATTTTTACATACACTTTTAAGACATTAAAACAGAAACAAAGTCACCATTCCAGAAACGTCATGTTACCATACATGTTTAGCAAGTCAGGTTAGGCTACCTACTTAGGCAGGAACAAAAGTAATGTTCTCATAGTTCATCAGAGACAAATTTATTTGAATTTTAATTCACAGTGGCAGAATTCCATTGTATCAAAAGTTTAAATACAGCAAGTCCATTGTCTCTTTAAACAGTTTCCATACACCTCAGCCAGTTACATATAACTTCCACAACTCCTGGTATTTAATTCTATAAACATTCCCTGTCTTAGGTCAGTTATCATCACTGCTTTATTTTAAGAATGTGAGATGTCAGAATTATAGTAGACAAAAAGATTTATTTCAGTTTTTGTTTCTTTCGTCACATTCCCAGTGGGTCAGAAGTTTACATACACTCAGTCAGTATTTGGTAGCATTGCCTTTAAATTGTTTAACGTGGGTCAGACATTTCGGGATGCCTTCCACAAGCTTCTTACAAGTGGGTGACTGTGGTTCAGTGGGTAGGGTGGTCGTCTCCCAACTAGAGGGTTGGAGGATCGAAGGGTCCCTGTAAATCCACATGTCAAAGTGTCCTTGGGCAAGACACTGAACCCCAAGTTGACCCAATGGTTAGAGCCATTGGTGTGGGTTGGCGCCACAGATGGCTGCCTCGGTTCTGTACCAGAAACAAATTCCTTGTGTGTAGCATACTTGTCCAAATAAAGTGATTATCCTTATCCAATAAGCTGGTGGAATTTCAGCCCATTCCTCCTGACACAACTGGTGGAGGCAACACAATTAGCGGCCTCCTTGCTCACACACACTTTTTCAGTTCTTCACACAAATTTTCTATTGGATTGAGGTCAGGGCTTTGTGATGGCCACTCCAGTACCTTGACTTTGAGGCCCTTGAGCCATTTTGACACAACTTTGGAAATCTGTTTGGGGTTATTGGCCATTTGGAAAAACCATTTGTGACCAAGCTTTAACTTCTTGGCTGATGTCTTGAGACATTCCTTCAATAAAACCACATAATCATGATGCCATCTATTTTGTGATGCTGCCAACCCTGTGCTTCACTGTTGGGATGGTGTTCTGTAGCTTGCAAGCCTCCCCCTTTTTCCTCCAGACATAGCAATGGTCATTATGGCCAAACAGTTCAGTTTTTGTTTCATCAGACCAGAGGATATTTCTCCAAAAAGTCAGATCTTTGTCCTCATGTGCAGCTGCAAACTGTAGTCTGCCTTTTTATGGAACAGTGGCTTCTTCTTGCTATAGGACTCATTTTACTGTGGATATAGAGACTTTGGTAATGGTTTCCTCCAGTCTTGTCACAAGGTCCTTTGCTGTTGTTCTGGGACTTATTTGCACTTTTCTGACCAAAGTACATTCACCTCTAGGAGATAGAACACATCTCCTTCTTTAGTGGTATGATGGCTGCGTTGTCCCATGGTGTTTATATGTGCATAGTATTGTTTGTCGCATAGTTTGGAGGTCTATAGTTTTTTCTTTCTGTGGCCTTGGCTGATTTCTTTTGATTTTCCCATGATGTCAAACAAAAAGGTACTGGTTTTGAAGGTAGGCCCTAAAATCCATCCACAGCTGCACCTCCTGTTGACTCAGATGATGTCAATTAGCCCATCAGAAACTTCTAAAGCCATGGCAACATTTTCTGGAATTTTCCCAGCTGTTTAAAGGCACAGTCAGCTGAGTGTATTTAAAATTCTGACCCACTGGAGTTGTGATATAGTGAATTATAAGTGAAATAATCCGTAAACAACTGTTGGAAAAATTACTTAACATGCATGCCAAAACGTTTATTAGCATGACATCTCTGAGTGGCTAAAAAAAATCAGTTTTAATGACTTAAAACTAAGTTTATTAGCATGACATCTCTGAGTGGCTAAAAAAAAATCAGTTTTAACTTCAGCTAAACTTTTAACTTCAGTGGTATATAACAACCAGTAGCTTGAGATTGACTAATTGTCATTGGGAGTCAGTTGGGGGTGTATCATGGTGTCCTTTTGCTCGTTATCATGGGAAAATCTGAAGAAATCAGCCAAGACCTTAGGAAAAAAACATTATGGACATCCTTGGGAGAAATTTCCAAATATTTGAAGGTATCACATTCGTGTGTAGTAACAACAGTACACAGTCATAAGTGACCACATGACACACAGCAATCGCAATGTTCAGGAAGGAGCTGTGTACTGACTCCTAGAGATGACTCTATTTTGGTGCAGAAGATTCAAAAGCATCCCAGGACAAAAGTTAAGGAACTGGTAAAGATGTTAGAAGTAACTGGTACAAAGATATTGATATGCACACTAAAAAGAGTGCTGTATCATCATAACCTGAAAGACTGATCCCCCAAGGACGAAGTCACTACTCCAGAACTGACAATCAACACTACAGTTTGCAGATGAGCACTCTGAAGATCTTAACTTTTGGAGGAATGTTCTCTGGTCAGGGGAGACAAAAATAGAACTATTAAGCCATGATGATCAATATCTTAAGGAAAAAGGGTGAGGCTTGTAACCCAAAGAATACCATCCTAACCATGAAGCTCAGAGGTGGCAGTGTCATGTTGCAGGGTTGTTATGCTGCAAGAGGCACATCAAAGCTGTGATCTTAATCCAATAGAAAATTTGTGAGCAGAACTGAAACAGCGGGTTTGTGCAAGGAGGCCCACAAACATGACTCAGCTGCAGGAGTTCTGCCAGGAGCACTGGGCTGAAATTCCAACGGTGTCGTGCAAAGCTTGTGAAAGGCTATACCAAGTGTTTGATTCAAGTTAGATAGCTTAAGGGCAATGCCATCAAATGTTAGTGTTAGAAATAACCCAATTCTTTTGTTAGACGCGTGAGAAGTGAAGGCAGGAGAGGACTGTTTAAAATCAACAGGATGTTTACTCAAAGTCTGGGCACAGGTGAAGCCATAAAGGGCTGGGATCAGAGAGGCAGAGCGCCCGCAGGAGATCCGTTCTCTGAACCCTGAGTTATGTTTTCACAATACTTTTATCTTCTTGGGCTGCTCCGCCCTGGACAACATTTCACACTTCGTAATCCTGTTGGCCATTTGGTGTGAGTTGGTCTACCCTTGCCTGCGCCTGCTTGCTGAAATGTGATCTAAACCAGGTGTGTGTGTTTCTTTGATCCATGGACATTGAATAGCGGGTTGTCTGGGTTGCAGGCTCCCCGTGTGGGTGATGCTAATAAGTATGCTAAACTGGCCAGGTGGTCATCTCAGGTTGTGGGCCCCCTGTCTCTGCAGGACACTCCATGACAAATCAGAACTTGGAATATGCTAAGTGGGTCTAGGTGAAGGTGCAAAACAGGCCAACAGGTCTTTGTTAAAATGTAAAATAGGCTGTCTGGTTACCTGAAGGTACAAACACTATGTCTACACAGAAGTTAAAGCAGGCAGTTTCTGCTTCAGTATCACTTGACTCTCATCCATACAATTGTAAGATATATAAGCAAGGAAAATAAATGTATTAAAAGTAACCAAAGCTCAGTAGTTCTAGACAATCATCAATACAGTTGTAACATATATATATAAACAAGGAAAATAAAGGTATGAAAAGTAACTAAAAGAGAATGAAGAACTGAAAAGTAACTAAAGGAAACTAGAGTTATGCAGCATAACTAAAGGGAACTAAAGGTATGGAAAAGTAACTAAACCTTATAAAGTAACTAGAGCCTATAAGAATCCAATCTTACATTAGTGTGTATAAACTTTTGACCCTCCGAGAATGTGATAAATAATGCTGAAGTAACAAATTCTCACAGCTATTCTGAAATTTCACATAATCAGAGAAAGTACGTAGTTGGACTAACTGAACTAACAGGGAAAATATATTGAAATGTTCCAAACTGTAAAAAGGTTATTGCATTTAGCTAAGGTGTGTGTAAATTTCTAACCTTAACTTTATATTACAATAACTCCTTAGACACATATTGTAGGGAACTGGGAAGCCAGAGAATACTACAACATTATTTTTTCTCTGTTTTGTTTAAAATTCCCTTGGAACAGAGTGGAGCAGCGAGCAGGTCTGTGTTTTGGTTTCCATTGGAATCGGGATGATTGTGATTGGCTCTCACCTGACTGACACTCGCACCGCATCAGAGGATATTTGCATCAAGTTGAATTTTCATCAACTTTATGCAGATACTTCTGTAATTGGGCACTTTTTAATTTGTCAAGCTCCATGGGGGGCACAGGACTGCAGAGCCAGGACTCATTCACAATGACTGGCAGCAGTTGCTTGCCCAGCCTTTTGAATCCATATGTGCAACTCATGCAATTTGCAGTTTTTTTGTCAGACATCATTTATAATTTATACCATGGGACAGCTGATCAAATTTGCAGTGGTGTGAAAATGGTAGACTAATTTGTTTGTTAACACAGACTACTCAGAGCCCATGGTATGCTTTTCTGTGTTTTCTGACTTATCTACAATGTTACAGTGGTGAATTATCATCTTAAACATGACTGAAAGCTCAAAAAACAAGTTGTACCTATGTTGTACTTATATGGAGAAGCAGCTTGGTATATAAAATGCATCTTGATGGGTAAACAGATTTCAACATGACATCAGCAACAGGAGAGGCTCTCGGGTTTTTATCATTCTGAAATAATTACAGACTATTTGGAGTTATGATGAGTGCAGAGCTCATCTAGAGGTACCGAAGCTTAAACATTAAATGGCTGGAAATGGGAAAAATGAGCATTCCATGGCCACTTTATGTTCTGATAGACTGGTGGAAGAAAGGATTCAATTCTCATAGTTGCAGATTTTATTTGGTTCCAGTGATGCAAATATGAAGGCATATGTTCTCCTGTGTAATCCCTCTCATCCTATGGTAAAATAACATACTATATTTTCCTGCATTTCTATGAAACCGACTGTTTATTTTCCAGTCTTTCAGACTTTTCTCACATCTGTTTATATTTGAACCTGACATGAACCAGCTACAGTAATTTTATACCTCATGCTGACAACTAACATTAGTCACAGGCATTATTGCAGTAAGAATACTTCATCACGAGTAAATGCATATGTGAGAGAAGCTAGGCCAAGCAAGATGTATAAACCTAAGAGATATAAAATACAAGAAGCATGCAGAATATGAAAGATGTAAAAAAGATAAATCAGAGAATATCAGAAAAAAGCACCCAACAACTACTGATACATATGTCATCTCTCATGGACATAGTGCTCACAGTTGACAAATCAAAGTAAAACCCAACATTAAGTAGCAATAATAACTTTTACTTATATGACACAATTAATGTTTAAAAACAATTTACAGTAAAAGCTAACAATAAAAATAGAATCCAAAACATTTAATAAAAAGCAAACTGAAATAATTTTACATCTAATACAAATACAATCAGTTAACAAAACCGGTTAAAAAACAG